ACATGAGAATGAGTTAAGTTACATCAAATCCTAGTAAGGGAGAAATTAATTACACTTAGACATGAAACATAGGCATGGCAACAGGGCGGGACGACGCCAGATTTTACGTTTCATGACTGTATCACAACCTGTTGGTATTGCGTCCCTTGTAGAAATTGAATCATGCAAATTCTATACCAAAAAATGTCTAGTTTTTTTTACATAAGACGATATATTAAGATATCTCACATTTATTAGGAATATGACCATGATAACCTTGTAATACTTGTGCAATGAACTTCCTTAATTTTTTGATTGATTTAGGTCCGGTCCAATTCTAATAGAAAGTAAAGCTTACTTTCAATGTTCAATATATTATTACCACATTTATCAACAAATGAAAGAGTAAATAATTGCGAGACCAAAGTTTTGTATTACATTTACATACAGATAAATATCCCTTTTTTATTTATTTATTATAAAGTAATTTTTAACTACTTCACAAAATTAAGAAAATGTTAAAATAAATTGATAGTCTTCAATTTACCAAAAACAAATTATAATAACTTTCTAAATTAGCCTTATTTAAAGATCCATAAATTTATTTATTTATCTCTCCATCTTAATTATCTTTCCAATAACTCATTACCTTTTTTTATGCTTATATAACTCATTAATTTTATTATATTATAAACAATTGATATTTACCGTTATCAGAAGAGTTGAAAAACGTATAGGAAAGAGTAGAGTAATGGGATATGATGTAATTAACGGATCAGAAAATTAAAAAGATATGACGAAATTAGAGATTAAGAATAGATTTGAAATTTTTTTTTAATACTTTATAAAATTTTTAAAGCAACTTATATAAAAGAACAACTAAAGTTTCTAAAACGTGCATGCCTTGTAAAAATAACTAATTTCGTGGAAGAGAGACCAGTTTACATCTTCTTAGGATTTTTAACTATCTAATTGTTGAATATTATTATAATGAGATAACCACCCATATATTGTCTAGCTAGTTAGATTGTTTATGTAAAATAATAATAATAATAATAAATTATTATTTTAAAATGTGTATATATTATTAATTTTAATGTATATCACTACAAGAAAAACACAAAATTTTGATAGAAAATTTCTCACGGATATGAATCCGTCGAAAATTTATATTTTTTGACAAAATTTTTTTGACGGATTTATATTTCTATCGGAAATTTCTGACAAAATTTTCCGTCAGAAATTTTTCATTGAAAATTTCCGACAGAAATATAAATCTGATGGAAAAATAAATCCATCGGAAATTTCTGACTATATTCCGTCAAAAATTTCTGACGGATTTATATTTCCGTCAGAAATTTTCGACGAAAATATAAATCTGTCGAAAATTTCTTATTTTTAATTCTTATTTTTAATTCTCATTTTTAATTTTTAATTTTTAATTTTATTTTTAATTTTTATTTTTAATTCTTATTTTCATTTTCTAAAATTGGAATTTTTATTTTTAATACTTATTTTTTTATGTAATTATTTTTAACTACTTTTTATTTTAAAAAAAAAAGATAAATAATTATCTTAGGTGTCACCTACAAAAATTACGTACTATTATCGTATTGATATTTAATACCTCTAATTTTTTTTAGTTTTTTAAAATAAATATTATTTATCTACCTTAAAATAATCTAACTAGTGAATTTATATTTCAGAGGGATGAAAATCAAAGAAAATATGGCGTCTCGGCATACGGCCAGTCGGTGACACAGGAACTTTGGATCTATTCCTGGCATGTCCGACGCCGTCCATGCAAACAAGTCTTTATTGTCTCGTACTGCTCGCTTCACCTGGTTCGCATCGATTTCACTCAATTGGGATCCCAAATGGGTGACCTGTTTGGGTACTCGACCAAGCTGAAATGGGACTAGGTCTTCGGCGATTTGTTTCTTCAAGTCCTCCATTTGTTAAGAAAGAAATTTATTTTGAGCTAAGATTACATTCTATGTATCTAGTTCCAAAATTCATCTTTTGGTGGGTTGGTTTTTATCATGGTGAGCTTGATAGTCACTGGCTGCCAAAGTATCAATAATAGTGATAGCTTCTTTAGAATCCTTCATCATCATTAATCCACCTGCAGAAGCATCTAACAACATCTTTGTTTGTGGTTCCAACCCATTACAGAACATATTCAGTTGTGCAACATCATCAAACTCATTATTTGGGCATTTCCTCAATTAAAACTTGTATCTCTCCCATGCTTCACATAAAGGCTCATTTGCTCCTTGAGAGAAAGTTGCAATGGCTAACTTGGCATTTATGTATCTAAATGGAGGAAAAAATTTGGCTAGAAACTTCCTTTAACTTCCTCCCACGTAGTTAAACTCTGATTTGGGTGAGATTGTAACCATGTCTTTGCTCTTTTTGTTAAAGAAAAAGGAAACAATTTGAGTTATACTACTTCTTCATCCTCCCTAGGTACTCCTAGAGTGCCATAAAGCTCATAAAAGGTAGATAAATGAGTGTAGAGGTCTTCATGATCCATCCTTGAAAAATGATTAGAAGTGACCAGTGAAAACAAGGTCAACTTCATTTCTACTCCTTTTGTGGGCCTGACTATGCTAGGGAAATGCCTAGGTCCCAACTAATGTGTGTATTCCTCTAAGAGCCTTCTTGGGCTGTTGTATAATCCTTCACCACCGGGTTGTCTTGCACCACTTGGATCTGCCATTGGTTCAAGTTGAGTTTGTTGAACTAAGATTAAAGTGGATGTACCTTCTTGTTGTTGCCTTTCCTAGTTTAGATTCTTTTGCTTCCTTTTATTTTTTATTGTTGTTCCTCCTAGTTGTTATTTCTAGCTTAGTATCCAATTACATCTGCTCAGCTAGAGTTTTCCCTTACATACATAATGAAACTAAACAAAGAAGTTAGCATAAAAGCAACAAATATTAAATCTAACTACTAGAAATATATACAACTTAGATAAAAACAAACTTAAACAAGGATAACTTAAATTATAAAATATCTTGACACAAGTCCCTGACAACAAGGCCAAGAACTTGATGAGATTTTGAGACAAGCGCATTAAGCCACTATAGTATAAGAATTAAACACAGGTTGTCGAACCTCAAGGACTTCGAAGATACTTATAATTAATGATATCCTAGTAAAAAATCGAAATAAAAAGTTCACAAATATTGTAAACATGACGTTGTTCAGATTTCAATAATGGAATTAAAAAAAAATTGTAAACAAAAAAGTAGTAACTTAGAAAGATAATAGTTGGTAAGTTATTGGTATTAAACTTCACTAATTTCACCCTTATGTGTTCTTAAGACATCTAGATATGATTTAGATTATCCAATATCATTCAGTTCATTAAATTCATTCCAAATCAATTCCTTGTATTCAGAAATTCTAAGAGTCTAACTCAATAAATGATTCCTCTATTTATCAAATTAGAAACCTTGAATTAAGTTTAAGATTATTATTATTATTATTATTCGTAATATAAAATTATTATTACAAGTACGAGATTGTATATTTCTGACGGAATTTTCTGACAAAATTTTTTGTCGGAAATTTTCAACGGATTAAATTATTTCTAACATTTCCGACGGATTTAAATCCGTCGAAAAAAAAATCTATAAAAAATTTCCATTAGAAATCAACATTTTTCTTGTAGTGCATTAACTAAACATTAATTTTATAGATATAATTTTTATATTAAGTATTTCTTTACCCAACGTCAGATTATATATACATTCTGCAAAAAAAATTTAAAATATATTCGATGGTATAAAATTGTGTTTTCTTCCTCAATTTTTGGAGATCCCAAATACATTGATGAATTTTCAAACTTCCACCATTAAAATTAGTATATTTTAAAGTATTCCAAACATATATATAGAGTAGGGGTAAGCATTAAATCGATACCCGAACCGAACATGAAAAACCCGATAAAAGATATTGCTTTTGGGTGGATTCGGGTGGGTCTTATGGGTAAATCAGGTTACAATTTTGATTTTATACGGGTTATATTGGATGGGTTCGGTTTTGAATTTTTAAATCTGCTAAAAACCGAACCCAACCGAAAATGAGATAAGTTTAAATTTTTATTATTTTTGTATATCTAAACAACAATGGTCCAAACTTAAAAGTATTTATTTCAAGTATAATATAGCCATTAATTTGTAACTTATTTTTTCCTTTTTCTCATAACTTAATATTTATTTTGTCTTCTCCTTCCTCATTCAACTTCTCAACACACTAGTCCATTTTTATTATCTTTTTACTTCTTTCTTTGTCTTTCTTTTCCATTTTCTTATCTCCATTTTGAGTACAACTTGTGCGACTGTGATTTCTTATGGGTTTTGTAATCTAACTTTAAATTTATTTTGCATGTAACAACTATGAATTTTCTTATCTTTTATTTTTGCTTCTTTAGTTTGTAAATGTTTTAACTACGAATCTATTTACACCATATATTGTCACCTTCATTCTATTTTTATACACTATTTTAAAAATACTTTTTTATCGTTTTAAGCTTTATCTTCATTAAGATAAATTAGTCTACAAAAAAATTCAAACCCAATTGTACCCACCCGCTCAAATCCGAATCCGTTTCAATCCGAACCGCCTCAAATCGAAAGCTCAATCGGTCGGATATGGGTCACATTTTTTTAAAGTCGATTTACAACGAGTTAGACATTTTTCACCCGAACCTGATCAAACCCACCCGTTGCTCACCCCTAACATATAGTACAAACACGAAAGAAGAAAGAGCTTTGCTATATATTGCGAATGATAAGTCGAATCAACATCCAAATAATTAAAATATTAATATTTTTAAATAAATGTATTATAAAATAATTATTTAATTTAACATTTTATTTTTTAAATCAATTTTTTATTAATTTGGATCAATTTTCGGAATAACTTTTCGGAGGATGAAACATTTTTTAAGGAAAAAACACCAACACTTTACATTAGAGTGATCATTTAATGATTAGAGTGATGGGGGCAGTGAATGGCTGCAATTTAAACACGTCTCATTACTGCAAACCAACATAAATAATAACCTTAATAATAGAATAATTTGTACAATAATGATATCATATATTATATTTTTCTTAGAACGAGAACAAAAGAGATGGGTCTTATTTCCTCCTTAGCCACTTCTTGATCCACCAACCTTGCATAATTCTTGAACAAACCGTCCAAGATCCTTTCTCCAAAGTGGTGTGAGATCATTGATTCTTGAATGGCTCTCACTGCCACTGAAATCTGTGTGCCATAGCTCTCACCACTCCCTTGCTCGTTCTTGTCCATCTCAAACATCTCTAGCCTCTCCAACTTCAACGACCCTTCTTTTCTCACCTCTTCCTCTATCTCTTCCCTTGATGGTGCATAGAAATGTACATCATATGAGTCCAACTTCTCCTGTTCTATTTCTCCCTACATCACCAAGAAAGAAAAAGAAGAAAAGGTGACAAAAGATTTCATGGTTATCCATATACCTTTTATGAGTACTTCGACAGAATTTGAAGCAGAAAAAAAAGAGAGTAAAGGTGCATTTATCTTTAATTTAAAGTGAACAAGTTTGTAATATATAAATAAATATACCTTTTTTTTTTTATTTTAAAGCTAAGCCCTTAATTGTATGATTCCAAAAAACATATATATTAGAGTTAATGTATATAATTTGATTCTTCAAGTTTTGATCTTAAAAAGTATATCTTTGTGTATATGGGTCAAAAGTATTAGTTTGTTGACAGATATATCTTATTATTAATTTTTTTAGTTTTTAAACTAGTTTATTCCTCAGGACTGATTTTATATAATTTTTTTAAAAGAAATAAAATAACACAAAGTATCACTTAGGAGACTGAACATAAACTTTAGTTTTATATATTCCTTGGACTAACTTTTTTCTTTAACATCAAAGTTTAGAAGAGAAAAGATAAACTGTTCTTCGACATGAGAGCTTATGATAAAATTAACTAACTGACAATTTGGGAATGCGAGTTCACCAATAAAAATCCAACCAAAATCGTTTCATTGACTTTAGTGTCAAGCTAGCTAGCTAAGCATTTATTACAAAACATAGCAATCAAGAAATTATTTAAGGATCTTGTCAAAAACCGCTGCTGAAGTTATCAAGGGTAACATTTCAGAACTTCCTTATATATAAATCATTTTTCACCTACAGATACTGTAGTTATGTTTTGGTAATTAAGAAGGAAGTCACACACACTTTGGATTTTATTTTGTCCTTGTATAGATAATGAATTTCATCTTGTCAGCTATAACATGAACAAAATAATAATGGCAATGATGATGGAGTGTTCCAGAACAAAATAATAACATGAATTTTGTCCTATTGATGTACGTACCTGTAAGACTAGAATAGCAAATGAACGGGAAAGAATCTCCCAGAAGAAAGAGTTGCCTCTGTCAACATGTTCTGGGCCCCTTCTCCCTAGAAATATCAGCACCATTCTTCCACCTACTACTAGTTCTTCTGACCTTGACCCAAGAAACAAGGAAAAATCTTCTTGGAATTGTTGATAGTATGCTTGAGACACCACTTCAGGGCTTGATTCACAAATGTAAACACACCCTTTGTTCAATGACCTCTTGTGCTCATCATAGATAGCTGGAGGAACCTGCATGACACAATCCACCAATAATTAAACCTATGTATGTTTCTGCATACAACACTTCAGCATTGTAAACACTCATTTGACAATTTTTCTTTTCTTTCAAGACAACTATCAGATAAAGTGTTGTAAATACTATTGGTGTTACTCTTTAATCAGAATCCTCTATTAGTATACTACTGAAGTGAAACTCCAATTTTTATAGAAGAACAATACTAACAACATCATAATATTGCATGTAAGTTTTATTTTATTTTTATTTTTATTTTTATTTTTATTTTTATTTTTATTTTTCTGTCACATCATATCACTTATCATATGATCGTTTGTCTTCAAAAAAAAAAAAACATTATTGTTATAGATATGGGTGAAATAAAACAGTGGAAGATGATGAGCATGTCTAGAAAGGGGAAAGTGTATTATTATACCCTTGAAAGCCAGTGTAGACTGTAGGAGGAGTGGACAAAGTGCAAGTAACTGTTTGGGAATAGTCTTCCATAAAATGAGCCAGGGTAGCCTCCCATGAAAATGGAAGGAAACCCATTTTTCCTGTCTTGCCTAAGCAGCTGGTGGAACTCTGGCAGGGCCTTGAAGATTGAATTGAAGTCATTTGTTGGAAGATCATTAAAGTAAACCCTGAATTCTGTGGAGTGGTGCATGATCTTGTGGCTTATGCCTTGGATGGCCTGAAAGATGTCTTTGATGATTGATAGGGTGTTTGGCCCAGAGGAACATCCCAAATCAGCAATGCCTATGCTCTTGGGAGTGGTTGTAAGGTAAAGATCCTCAACTGTTTGTATGATTATGTGTTTCACCTTATCAGATGCCTTCTTCTGTTGGAATCAAAGGTAAGTATATTAATCACAGAGAATTCAATTGTAGATTGAGATGAAAGAAGAAAAAGAAAGAAAGAAAGAGAGAACCTGTAGTGAAGAATTCTTGGCATAGCTAGTTTTGCCAACTCCTCCAGTCATGTGGAAGGCTTTCTCAACATCCATTGTTTTTTCAATTGGATTCGGCCTTATTCCTAGTTTCTAGCTTGTTGAAGTTGTGGTCATCTTTTAAAGGGAGATTTCAATGATGTGGCCATCTACTTTTTCTTTTATTTCTTTTTAATTTTTGTTTAGCCCCGCTCTTCAAAAAAAATATGGCACATTACTAATCATGGGAGTTCAGAATTAATCACCTTTTAGAGTGTCACAAGTGACAATAATTGTTGCTGATGATGAGAAACAAGACTAACCAAACAATGTGGTGAAGGGAGGGTTAACCCAACTTACATTAAATCCTTGTGAAAGGAATTGGAATAAATTTTGAAGTCCAAAAGAAAAGGTGTCTGTGGTGTATATGGGAGAGTACTCAAAGTCATAGAGCAGGAGAGGAGTTGATGTATATGGTGATTGAACCACATCCCCTTTCCTAGCTTAAAAGGCTTAACGTATGGGGTGTTTTTGCTTTTCTTTGTTGACACTAATGATTCAAGCTGTCAAAAAGTTTGATGTTAGGCATCATTGAAGTGAAAGTCCTATAGTGGATATTCACTATTTTGTCCCCGAAAAAGTTTGATCATTTGGTTACAAGGGCTTGTGATTGAGTAGGGGATGGACCAACTTGTGTTGGTGCTAGTCACTGCCACTTTGTCTGGATCAACAACTTTGAGTCCATCAAATCAGTATAGCTTTAGATGGGTAATTAGATACAATTGGCTCTTGACACGTAGAGGCAGTTGTGGCAAAATGTGGTGCTTATGCTGCCATGGACATTCATTCCCACATGCACTGCTCAGACACATGAATTTTCAAACAGGACCATAATTTGTCCCACACCAGTGGAAGAACCATGAAATAAGGTACAGTTTTGGATGCACTCGTTACCAATTAAGCACTCTTGAAATGGGGGCAAGGGACGGGTGCATGTTGTTTAGATTAGACTTTTCTTGTTTTTTCCTCTCAGATCATATGTATCTTTTACCAAAAGTAATCTTATACAAACCGAAAAGAATCATATCAATATTATATATAAATATATCTATTAAATTAAGATATTTCCTAATTAGAAACTAATAACTAATTTTTAGATGGATTCCCATTTAGTTAAGGAATTGACATATTTCAATAAGTGTTTTTCATACACAAGAATAAGAGATCAGATCTTATAATCATATGTTTAAGAAATAAAGTTATTTATTAATCATGGAACACTTTATTTATTGCAACATTCTCGAGTTTGGATTTCCTTCATTTATTTATCATTTTCTTTTGAATCTACAAAGGAAATTAAATATCAATTATGAAAAATATGTCTTTTAGATACTTAACTTTAATAATGAACAAGAAATGGACACCTGAAATGGAGAGGATCCAAATTTCTCTGTAATACTCCATTTGTCTCATAATAAGTGTTGTCATAAGTCATCTATATAGATTAAAAAAATAATAAGTAGAAGAAGGAAATAATAACTTTATAAAATTAACCTTCTAATTAATTTTATCGTTAGAAATGATACAACATACTAACCATTTCCTAAATAATATTATTAGGGATATAAATAAAAAAAATATAATTAATATTATATTAAAAATTAGAATAATATTAATTTTATTTGATTGGAAATTTATTTAGGTTAGAGTGTGCGCAAATTGACGAAACCAACGGTGGTTGTGATTTGTGAAGTACAAAGTGGAAAAATTAATGTGTGCTCAACCGAAACAGAAAATTTACCCTTAAAAAGTGTTGAAGCGTGATTGGGTTGAAAACTTTGGGAATGAGAGGGCCCATCATTATTATTAACACCATGTTTGGTTTGGTCGACTTTGGACTCAAAGAATTAGTTAAGATACAAAAAAAAAATTGTTTTCTTTTTTCCCAAAAGAATATCTCACTTTTTGGTTATATAAGAGGATGAATAGAGATACAATAGGTCACGACCAGTTAGATAAGGTTTCCAATATACTTATTTTATAAAATTAAAATCAAATTTTAATTTATTATTTAGAGGAGGGTTCAAATGACACCGGTGTAACTTTTACTAAGTGTTACACCGCTTAATAACTTTATATTAAATATGAATTTTGAAAATCCAACCGTTAGATTGAAAATTCATATCTCTTAGATCATATATGTCAAATTTTGTTAAAATTGAACAACAACTTGAAGGTAATCAAAGTGTTCATATTTTAGTATATTTTGAAATGTATATATTACGTCAATTTTGTTTTATGAGAATGAAGTATTAAATCATTTTAGATTAATATAAAATTTGACATATATGATCTAAGAGATATGAATTTTCAATCCAACGGTTGGATTTTCAAAATTCACATTTAATATAAAGTTATTGAGCGGTGTAACACTTAGTAAAAGTTACACCGGTGTCGTTTGAACCCTC